GAACATGAGCGGCTTGCGCTGCACCACCCACAGCTTCAAACACACACCCCATATCCAGTGTAAACCCGAAGGAGTAAGACCGGGAGGCACCCAGTCCTTTCCAGCAACGACCAACTGGCTCCTGGGGCCAGTATGGACGAGATAGTGGGTAATAGACAGGTAGGCACCTTGTCAACATGCACAACAAGCGCAGCCACACAGGGGATGTCAAACTACAGCCAATCACTTGAAGCGATGAAAACAAGTAAAATAATACGAATGATGTATATAGATATGGAGACATAACTCTTCATAAAATGAGCGTACGAAATGAGTTGGTTGCAAATAAACCGCGAAGGGTTCAATACGTCAGAAAATATATGTTAACAAGATGGCACAACCGCGAAAATGTTATCGAAGTAAAGTACAAGTAACTTTAGCGACGTAAGCAAGTTTAAAGAAGGCAATTTAGGTGAACACTAATATGAGATAAAAGGCAATAGGACAACATAGTAAACCCACCATCTGAAATAAAGAGACTCAGCATGCAAGCACGCGGTTAGTAAATCGAACGCAGCGTACCTACAAACGCGTCGTCGATTCGGTGGTGGCCCCGAGTGGCCTCGCTCATGGCTCACTAGGCCTGCCTGACTCAGGCACTCGCGACCACATGTGCTACAGCACCACGCGCTCGCAGTCGATGGAGTACAACACATCGGCGCCTGCCGCATCCGCAATTGCCGCTTCTTCTCTGCATGTACGAAGTCTTTCGTCTGCACCTTAACAACTCCCTTCTGATCAGATCGCGCCATGCACGCCGATCAATCGCCTTTGACTCCCATGATCTGCAATCAAGATTAGAACGTGAGAGGCACACTTTGATCATGTCCTGGTAACGTAACTACAGTTACCCCACATGCCGCTTCCAAATAGTTGAGCAAATAATAGCTGTTTCGGTGTCCGTGTCTCAGTAAAAGGATGCAGTCTACTGCATATATTCCACTTCGGCGCAACACATCCGTGTCTGCAACTCTGTCGCACCAACTGATGCGCAGAATCCGTCGCAAACACTGTTGACGAAACCGCTCGCTCACACATCGTCCATGTTTCACTACCGTATAGAAGAACAGACAGCACCCTGGATTTGTACACCAACAGCTTCATGCCAACGGTAAGCTGATCGCTGTTCTACACTCGGACTCTAGCTTCCCGAATGCCGCCGCTGCCTCCGACACGCGGATACGCAACTCACTGTGTATCTGATGATCAGTCTACATCACACTCCCAAGATAGCTGCAGCGGGAGGTGGATCTCAATACTTCAGCACCAATGCTGATTTGCGGCAATATTGAAGATTGCACCTCCGGTGAAGGCTGAAAGAGACAGACAGTTTTGCTTGTGTTGATGTGAGCCCGAATTTGGCCGCTGTCGAAGCCAGAGTATTAGTTATGTGCTGCAACTCATCCGCGTTGTGTGCAAACAACGCACAGTCGTCAGCAAACAGCAACATACGGATAGTTATCTCACAGACTAGGGTTCTCGCACCGAAACGACGGATGTTCAGCAACCCACCATCAATACGGTGCTCCACACGAACACCGTAAGCACAAGCCGATTCAAAAGCACAATACACCATTGCAAGATAAATATTAAACAGGGCAGGAGATAAGACACAGTCTTGTTTCACACCAGAGACAACTGCAAAGTTATCCGAGGTCTCTCCACTAAGTTGCAAACCGCGCGCATAACACCGTGCAGACACAAAAGCAAACTTACAAACTTACGCGGGCAACCAAACGTACCCAACATCAGCCACAATGTCTCGAGGTTCACCGTAGCAAATGCCATGGTGAAATCCACAAAAAGCGAATACAACGGCTGGTGTCGTTCTATACACTTCTCCTCCAACTGAAGAGCCGCAAACACCATATCTATAGTGCTGCGACCCGAACGGAATCCGCACTGCTCTTCCGCCACGTTAGCTTCCACAGCCTCACTGACGAGGCGGTTGAGCAGGATTCGGGCAATCACCTTGCCCACACAACGCAGCAAGTTGATGACAAGATAGTTCGTATAACACTGCTTGTTACCTTTGCCCTTGTACAGTGGTAGCACAATGGCCTCCTTCAGCTCAGGGGGCACCTCTCCTCAATCCACACGCGTTACACCAATTGGTGCAGCGCAGTCACCAACGCGGGTCCGCCAGATTTCAATACTTTATGCGGGATCCCGTCGGCCTTAGCACACTTGCCGTTTCACAGCTGAGCAAGTGCTCTGTGCGTTCCACCCAGCGTCGGCTTGCCCGCCAGATTCGCCTTTACCTCATGCGGCTTTCAGGCCGTTCAAAGTACGCCAGTCAATCTATGAATGGTTCTTCAAGAGACAGTAAAAGTGTTTCCGCCAGATCTGCATGATGTCTGCAGCCTATGTGCAGGTAGCGCCTGAACTATCATCGATCAGCGTCCTCAGGGGCTCCAATCTCGGTCCATACACAGCCTTCAAGGAATCAAAGAATTCCGTATGGTGGCGACGTTCGGCGTAGCATTCCAGTTGCTTCGCTTTCTCTGGACACCATGCATTTTTAATGCGACGGAGCTCTCGAGTCAGTCGCCGTCGAAGTTTGCGAAACTGACTCATCTTCACCAAGTCACGTGCAGCAAATGTGGCATTCTTCTTACACACCAATGTGCCAATCGTCGCATTGTTGTCATCAAACCAATCAGGCCGCTTACAGTTTGCGCGCTGGATGGTCTCCTCGGCAGCAGCTGTCACCTGGTCACGACTCTGGTGCCACAAGTCGCCCAATGTGGCTATGCATTCCACATCACACAGGTCTACAGCCATCACGTTCTCCAGCTCAGTACGTTTCTCCACAGTACCAAGGAAAAGAATGATAAGTTTAAGCCGATTTACGGCGGGAGTGCAATACATAGGTTTACGAAAATATATGTACAGTTTGGTCCGAACCAAGTTGTGATCAGTGCCACACTCAGCTCCATGCAGTACACGTGTCATGCGCACTTCACGCATATCACGCTTACGTACGATGACATAGTCGAGCAGGTGAGCGTGACCACTCCGTGGATGCGTACAAGTTGCCATATCACTAGCACTCAGTGCAAACCGAGTGTTCGTGATCGTCAGGCCGTGAGTGGCACACAGAGAGAGCAGCCTGTCACCGTTCGCATTCGCTGAACCAATGCCATGCGGATCGAAAGTATATAAATATAAATATATATATATATATATATATATATATATATATATATATATATATATATATATATATGGTTGGCGACATCCGGATTCAAATTTGCCTGTCACTGTGGCCAGCCACAGGATTCCTGCGCTTACACAGAGGGCCCATGGATGGCATGCGCTGCACCACATATCCAGTGTAAACCCGAAGAAATAAGACCGGGAGGCATGCGGATGAGAGCCACCTTTCATCAACAGAGCTGTCCCACACTCCTTCACAGGCAAACACAAGCACGCTGTAGTTGGGGAATCAAATGCACACAAGGCGGTGGCTGGACCGTAGTCCGCTCTACACTGAGTGCATGGAACCACTCTTCGAGCCTAGCACGACCACAAGGACCGTGCACCCCGCCCCTCCAGCAACGACCAACTGTCTCCTGGAACCAGATGAACTAAGTAGTGGGTAATAGATAGGTAGGCACCTTATCAACATGCACATCAAGCGCAGCCACATCTGGGATGTCAAACAACAGCCAATCATTCGAAATGCCGATATCGAATAAAGTAAAGGCATATAACGACACAAATACTTGCTAAATGAGCATATGGAAGAAATTGGTTAATAAGTGAATCCGCAATAAGTACAAAATGTCCGAAAGTTATTCAAATACTACCGCGCGATAAAATTACGCTAGTTTACTACAATTTGCATGAGCGACGTGCGCAAGTTAGGAGATTATTAAGTACGCAGAACAAACCAAATAAAGTGGAATGAATTTTATCCACATTAAAAAAACCTAGTTTAAGTGTAAGTTGGTTTAGCCCAACTGCGGTGAAGAAGCATCATGAATGCAACATCAGCCTCAGCAAGGGGCACATATATATTCAATCACAACACCTAACTAAGACAACCAATTGGTATCAAGTGAGTACTGCACCGGGAAAATCATTATCCTCGCGGAAAGAATAATCAAAGGAATCTTGCTGATCCTGTGTTGCGCCGCAAGCTTTAAAATTCAACAATCAACTTCTAACCGCTATGTCAAGTGCTGCGCGCGGAGCTCAACAGCTTAGTCATCACACGATAGCCGCCAAACACGGTGTGCCGAGCTCCATTCCCAGATCAGAGTATCTCTACTTGGCAAGCCAAAATCAGAACGTAACGCGTCGTGGAGTGCTGTGTTGGGAGATAGCCACACCGAAAACTCTCCATTTCAGATGTGGTCTCAGTGATCGGAATGGCTGAAAGCTACTTTTTGAAGTAGACATCAGTTATTTCGATTACTGGCAGACCGTCTCCAAACGAGTCCGTATCCCAATCCAAACACATCGCGCAAATTCCGGTAGACTCGCACGGAAGCCAGTGGCCATGAAAATTGCTCCCCTACCCTTCACTGAGTGTCACCTCTTCTGATTTAAACGAATGGCCAATGTCATATGGGTTTGCGAAAAATCTGCTAGACCTTACCATTGGTTCTTTACATTTCTACTGTGGACTGTATGCGGACTCTCATGAGGCTCGCACAGCGTGTATTAATCTGAAGCCTACGAGTTGAATTGTTAGCGTTCCGTCTCACTAAGCCAGAATGGTGGCGCCAGTTAGGTGATGAAAAGTGTTGCTTGAATGAAGCAGATGGACGGAATACGATTTATATGATTCCGTATAAACCAGTAAAATCCGATAAGAGGCACAGTAAAGTGAAGGAAGAGAGGGCAGACGAAGTCAGAGAGACCACATGTCTAGCTTGGTCTTGATCGGCACAGTCGATACGAAGGAGTGGAATGGAGTAGAAAGGTGGCGTTTAGCACATAACCGAACGTACCTCGTTCTCTTCAGTTTTAGGGAACTTCTGTTTTACGCCCCGTATCAACTTGCGACGCTTCTGTTCGGAGAACCCGGCATAGGTTAGTAAGATATTGGCGAACTGGATCTCTGTGATTTTCCCGTCGACTGGTGAGGCTCGATTAAACTGCGAAAGCATAAAAACATAATAGTTAACAAGTGAAGAAAATAATGAACTACCAAGGTGTTGTACAAACGTGTGGCAAATCAGTAGCCAAATATCAGCCCAGTGTAGATGACGAAGGAAAGAGTGCTGAGAACGCAAGCTGGCCGAGTAGGAAAAGGTCGCTCGACTACAAGATGCCCCCGTGCAGTGATCGTAAACAGAAGCCGTAAAAGAGTGAAACAGTGCATGATCATTTACCTAGAATGTCCAAATACATGATGGTCTCGATTAGTTGAGTGTCAGAAGTGTAAAAACACAAAACAGATTACGGTGCCCGCCAAGAATGGCCCAGACGACTGTGCGATAGGGCGATCAAAAGGTTACTGTGATAAGCAAGCTAAATTTGTGTGTAGAAAAACGTAGGCTGAGTTGTCTCCAGAACCATCACGTTACTCTACGCAATTAATGTCCTGTTGTTCGTGATGGGAATTCACTTCGGAACAAAACGCCTTACTTTCAAGGAAGTTGCGCCATCGTTTTCGAAAAACAGTGGTGACCCAACTCGAACTGGCCTATTCACCTAGACACAGACAATTCGGAGTAAAAATAAAATATCCTGTGAGTGACGATAGTAAAATAACAACCTATGGGCGCGCGAAGGTTTGTGCAGCGCTACAGTGAGGTCACTGATACTGTGTCAATCACAGACAGCAACTGAGTGCCAGGAATGACAAGAGGCTAGGCATGCGTGAGAACTGGTGTTCGCGAATAATCGCTGATGGTTGGTGGGAGCACCAAATGAGCAAAAAGAAAGTCCGCCTAATTGAATTGTTGCGTTGGCTAGAACACGTTCTTTACCTGTGTGTACGGTTTGGCAGTAATGATGTTAGTCAGATGGACCTCCGAAAAGCCAGTTGATGACGTGTGGAAGAAGTATGAAGGAAATGACTTAAAGACTGCGACCAATGGATACACATCATGGGACCCTGGAGATAAGTAAAAAAAATCATCGGAAAACACATAATTGCGAAGTTAGTTGAGCATGTTTATCCCCTATATCTAACCGTTTTAAATGGCGGTTGCGATGCTTTCTTTCGACTGGACATACATATACATCAGTATTATTACGGTTTTGAAGCTTCACAATTGTTATCATTATGGCACTCTGGTGTATGGATCACATTTAATCAAGTGGAATGAACTATTCTTGTCCAAGAATTCCAATGCCTAATCTTCGATTCAATAGCAATAAAATTTGACGTGGATGATTCCGACCATATCGGCTGACTCCCAAGGCGATGGGAAGTGCACCAGTCAGTCCGAGAGAGTGGTTGGACTTATGGAGAACTGCTTGACGCCCGTCAAATGCAGTCGTAGAAGGTTTGGCTAAAAACACGCTTGCTTCTCAACCGCATTCGATAATACATCTGCGTTAGCCGTCCACCGCATTAGCGTTTCGGAGCGTTTGTGATCTGGGGATCAGAGACGGATCGATTTGATGCAGCGGGCAATAGTTTTGAAACTAAGATATTCAATCCCAGTAGTTCACAAGCTACATAGCACAGCCCAGCCCGGAAAAGCGCCAGACGCGTTTCATTTTGTAGTAGGATAATTATAGGTAAACAGTGCCGTTCGTTTCAGACCTCAATCGATAAAAGCACATGGCTCGAAAGCATCAACTTGTAAGGTCAATATTGAGATATGGGGATATCGATCTGTAGCTGCACCCCATGGAACGAATGTTAGGATGGAATTCGTCTGACAAAGACATACACTTTCTGATAGAAGGGCTATGGATGCACTTGTAGTGTGCAGTCCAAACAAATCCAGTGGATCACGAAAACACGCGGACCATCTCACTAGACTAAGATCCCGTCCTGTTGTAATACCAGTTACTGAAACGACAGTGAATGTGGTAAAATTAGTCGAATTGGTGTTTGCAATATCTCTGCTTGGGAATCGAAATCTGAGATGCACAAGTGCAAGAGTAACGACACACCTTTTTATTCCGTCACTCGCGTTTTGGCGTCAGTTTCTGTATCCGTGTGTGAGGCTACGAAAAAGAACCCGTTCGATTTTTCTTTACATTTTTTAATTCATATTCTTCTGTTAACGTAGCTTTACTGCTCCAGTGACGCGAATCATGGCAACCGCGTTCCTCGCGCTTGTGTGAGTGGGTCACCAAATGGAAGTAGGCTGACCAGCAGCACGAAGTGGAGTATCCGTGTGTAGTACTGAGAGATCAAGGATGTGTGGCGATTCCGCCAAATTAGCGTTACACAGTGGTGTACACGTGATAGGAATACACAGTGAAGGTCCCATTCGCTGTTTAACGAAAGTCTGATACAGTGCAAAACTAATCCCAAATGTCAGCAAAGATGAGCCTAAAATAGATACTGATGTGAATGTCCATGAACAGGACCAAAGTGTGCCGATGCAGGAAATAGTCGGTTAAGTAACAAGTGCGTTTGTACGTGTTAACACAGGTGAAGTTAAGAGGTTTCGGAGGGAGCGCGCGCACTTTGGTAAGTGTACAAGGTGCGTAGAATACAGCTAACGCTACTGAGTGCAACATTGCGCAAACAGGTGCAGACAAGGAAATGTGGTGAGAGTTAGGGCCCTGATTGAGAAAAAACCTTATCGTGTCCGGACGGTAAGTGGGAAATGTCAAGTCTAAAAAAATAAATAGAACAGAGTGCATAGTAGCGGCCAACACACGCCAGATGGTTAGCGCAGTTCTTGATACAAAATAGGGTATGTTGCACTCAAACATCAACGGGTAGTATGATGTGAGGAGGAAGTGGAGAATACGCGGAGGTAGCTGCTTCGGGTAAGGCCCTCCAATATCACGCCTGGAATGAATCACAGGACCGCTAGTTGGGATAAACGGTTTAGTAGTGACAGACTATTAGATGTGATCAGTTGTACAAGGTTTACAGAAATCGGTAAACTATGCCGGTCCTCATTGTTTGTTTACACGGTACGCCTTCAGGATTCCTCAAAATAATATGAATTATGCCACAAGACTGTCGAATATAGCGCATTGAAGACGCAATAACCGGAAAGTGACCACTGTAAACAAAAAGAACATTGCTGGTGCAGCGGCAATTCTGGAGTAGTATAGATTAAAGACAGCTAGGATCAATCGTTACTTTTGTGGATGATAATTCGCTTAGGAAAACAGAGCAACATACAGAAAAGCAGGTGTGTTCAGGAAAACAAAGCAGAGCTGATGATCTACGCTTCTACTTAATAAATCATGGCCTAACAAACAAAATGCAGACCTCAATGACTCCCAAGCAATACAAGATAGAAACGAGGCCGGACAAGGGCACGTGAAAAAGCCCAAAAGACATCTAATGAACAACGTAATGATCGAAAGCACCTATGGGTAAATCAATCACTAGTATAGGTCTGGGAATATGGGTCTAACGAGAAAACGGATGTACAATGACGGGTTCATGGAAAGGCAACGCGTAGACGACGCTAGAAGGACAAACGCAAACGGGTAGTCTGGAAGGGTTAGGGCAGTACACGGGAACACGATGGGTGGATGAAGAAATGGGAAGATGCGGTTAGGATAGGATGAGGGGAGATTGGGTGACAGTGGGAAGAGGGCGATAATTGTGGTCAAAATTGGGTGAGAATTGGAAGCGAGTCGCACTTGCAATTAAAGTTAAGTGGCAACAGGAAAAATACAACAAGTGTTAGTTCAGAGAGGTTGGGTAACAATCGGTTAGCATGTTTGTTGGTTTCTCTTTCGATGTAAAAGCTACGCCATATCAGGTGAAGCAGTGTACAGTTGGAAAGGCGTTTGATGGAGAACAGGGACAACAATCGCGATAGCAGACACGAGCCACAGGTCAGGACTCCGCTTCAAGTGGCTTAGCCAGAGTGGGCGTTCCTTTGTGTGTCATGGCACATTGTGTTGACAATGAGGAGTCGAGTTGCATTTTGCAATCTGATCCGGACACCGACGTTCATCAGACTGGCCGCTTGGCATGCACTTGAGAGTTGTACCCTCGCCAACAATTGTGCTTTAGATCGCAAGATGGGCGATGATTACGGTTTAAATGAAGTGACTATGGCAGACAGGTGATAATTGCATTCCAAATGGTACGTCGACGGGAAGGCGACCAAAATACAAAACGCTTTTTACAACCTTGAGGACTCCTTGATCAACCCTAGACCAAAAACGAGGCTAGATCGAGAAACCGATAGTGCTGAATGATCCTACCCAGACAAGCTGTGCCGGTCGTTTCAGTCCTTTAAAGATGACAAACTGCGATACGACTGCGTATGAAGACCGAAATACGGAACGAACCCAGGATTCTAAGCAACCTCTCTTATGCACAGTGCTCTAGCCAGCACTGTACCTATTTCCACCGCGCGGGCAAAACACAATGTTTTGTCTTCTCGTAACTTGTATCGCAACTCCATCTTGCCATATCTGTCACGCTCTTCAGTCGACTCCGTGGGAATGAAGCGCAAGTTGTGTAATAACATTTTTCGATGAAAAGGCACTAGTTTCGTTTTCGTGCTGTATCGCATCTGCAACGATGGTGTAAATGATCAAAAACGCACCCTTATGGGTTTACAAAGCCTATTTGGCCTTGACGCAACTGTACCGAGAGACAGGAATGGAGGACCGATGCGACACCCCCATGTCCATTACAGCCTAAACCTGACAAAATGCGACCTTTGTGCAGATAGTGCGCCGTTGATCTGGACGATTGCGAAGGCCTAGGAAAATGCAGGAATCGAGTTGGCATGTCTCAACACGATCATAAACGCAGGCAACACAGCTCAATGGATTGCCAGTATTACTAAAAGACGGATTTCCAACTGGGACCAATGCACAAGCTGGCTAAATGGCCGGAACCAGCCAGAAAGTAAGTGATTACACACAAGTTAAAGGAATCATTAAAATTAGTTAAGCAGCTAGTTGATATCAATCTGAGTTGAAAGTCTATGGCCAGTATCAAGGTAGTCCCATGATTCACTAACGTACCGCTGAGAGT